TGAACTTTTCTTGTAGAGATGCATTGATTAATTTCATGTCTATGAGGAGATTCTGATTGGCCAGGGTGGCATTTGGTGAGATCATCAGAATTAATATAATCTCAGCCAATCCAAAGCTTTCCTGTTGGAAAGCATTGTGAATGGCTGAGATAATCACTTTTGATGATGTCAGCCAAGGAGGTAGATCAGGTGCAGAGCCAGCACCAGCAGACTGAAATAATGTTAAGATTTTACTATATTTAAGTGGGCTAGATTGTGTTTTTAACACTATTGGATCAGGAATACATGTTTGTGTTCCTGACCCTATAGTGTACTTTTGATAAAATTGGATGTTAGAACTGTTTAGTGATATCCATTTAATTTGGAAAGTTTTTTGGACCTAACTTTGTCTCCTATTATGTCTTTATATTCTCTAATACTTCTTCAACACCATTATTTTTCTACTCATGTTACTCTACATTTTCAAGATGTCTCTACAAGATTAATGTACAAACTCTGAATAATTACAAAGTATTGCCCTTTCCACAATCTAACCTACACTCATTGCTAGCAGCCTATCATTTCCGTCCAAGGTAGAAAAGGCTAATGCATAAATTAACCTTTGCTTTAGCTAAGCCCCAGCAGAAGGAATGGGCTTTGGATGCTGAGAGAGCCTGTATTTTTGTCAAACCTTTTAAAGTGGTCTCATACTGGCTGTAAAAATGGCTCCTAAATTCTTTCAACCAAAGTCATTACTATGAATGGTAGTCTTCATAGTGCTCAGAGCTTCATTTTCTTACCAACTACGATTGTTCAATTTCCCAAACTCACTATCAGATCACGTTCCTAAAGACTTGTGTCAAACATGTAAATTTAAATTTTTAATTTGGATTTCTGGCTGTGTCACCAAAAACCAGAGATGATTGATGGGAAAAAAGATTGATGACTAGGGCACAGTCCCTAAATGTTGATTTTATTCACAGTTCAGGTGAACAGTAAAGGGAAAAAATGAGAAGCAGTAAACAATTCTATATTTATTCAAATCTTTATTTTACTGCTGCCCCCCTTTTCATCTATTGGCTACTTTTTCTCACTTGATCTGTAAACCAAATGGCTAGAAAATGCTGAATGTTATATACGTATATATTTTGCAATACATTGATTGGCTCCTTTTCATGCCCTTTTGGTTTGCCAATTTCATTTTTTCATTACCGAAATTCTGTCCAATCAAACCACCATTAGCACAAATTTTGGCTGTCCTGAAACTTTTTTTTCATTTTTGGAAGAAATAGTTCAGCAGAAACCACTTTTCTCACTGCTCACACGTCTGACACATCTAATAGCATTTGTGTGTGGTCTTCAGAACATGCTTGGAATTCCAATGCATTCTTCTTGATAAAAAAATAAAAATTCATAAATAAAAAGAAAAACCTTGTGTTTTTATGTTCATCTTGACGACTTAGTAATGGTAACACTTTTATAATAAATCACAATTGTAATTTATTATACTTTGCAATTAAATATAAACCTGTAAGTTAAAACTTTATTTCTTGATATTTTCTATTTTCAGCATTTAAGATAAATATATATATATATATATATATCTCTAATGGTTAATTGCTGGGACACACAACATGAAGATCTGAAATATTCTCAAAGCTAATGTAGCACAAATATCTTAGTAAAGCAAACAACATAAAAATAGTGAATAATTTAAATAAAACAGGAAAAATATGCAAAACTTCTTCAAGAAAAGTTTTAATAAGACAGACATTTATAAGTGTGCTTAATTTAAATATACTTAGATCACATCAGTTGGAGACACTTCATAAAGAAATGCAAATTACTTTGGATTCTGTACGCTACATATCTCTATCAACAGTCTCTGATTTGCAATATGCTACTCGATTCTTTGGAACTTTTAGAGAGAAATGGCATAAATAGAAAAGATGTTATCGTACCAGGTTGTGTTTAGAAGAAGTAATATCTACTGCACTGTTACAGCATCCAATTCAGAAAGTTAAAGATATTTTAAGAAAACTCATAAATGGTATTTTGTTAAGATTTGACTTTTATTTAGTGTATTGTGCAAAATATATTACTATAATATGGTCTTTTACTTTTACTTGCCTGTTTTATAATAGTCAGTCAAATTCTGTAAACGCTTTGGACGATGTAACACGTGTGGGGTACGGGAGAAAGCATTCAGTTTGGCAGTGTGGGACCAGGGAAGAAGATATGGAGGATACTATCCAGTTTAACCCCTTAAGGACCAAACTTCTGAAATAAAAGGGAATCATGACATGTCACACATGTCATGTGTCCTTAAGGGGTTAAATCGTTTACCATACTATATTGGCTTTACTACATTCAGAGTGTGTATTAATTATCCATTAATAATACTGAAATGGATTTGTATCAAAGAGTAGTTTGTACATTCCCAAAAATAAATGAATGGTTCTCGTATCTGTTGCTAAATTCCTTTTTATGATTTGCAGGATTTCTTTTAGGATTACATTTGTATTATACATTTTCAATGTGAAGTCTAAATAAGAGCCACTTCTCAAAATACATTTTTACAACCTAACTGGGGACAAATTATAATTTGACATTATTTTGGTGCTAAAAATGGATTGATTTAATTAACACCAACTTTGCTTTCTTCCAAACACAGGATCTTTTTCTTATTCTTCAAGTCGTTTGCTTTTGGAAATCCTGTTTTGAATCTCTAAGAATTTGTGATATAATTCAAACACCACTTGTTTTGATGAATAAACAAATAGTTCAATCATTTACATAGATGACTTCACTTGTTTTAATGCATTGTACGTAAGACTTGATAATTTCAGTATGCTATTTATTATGTAATGATACAAGAAAGTGTTGCATTACTCAAAATGAGTATCCGTAAACTATTCTTTTCTCATTGACATGCTTTACTACATTCAAAGCCGAGAGTTGTTTAGTGTACTCTTTTTTATAAGCTATCTATAGTTTATTTGCATAATAATGCAATTTAGTTTACTTTATTCAAAAATTTTCAATCTATTTTGCAATTTCTTTGTTCATTCTAATATCCTCTACAGGGAAATGAATATGTAAAAACTCTAAAACATTCAGCATGCGCTCTAAATGCTATTGACCTAAAAACAGGTTTGCAGTTAATTTGGAAATTTTCTAATTATGGCACAAATAAACAGTTAAATAGTTACACAGTAGTCTAGGTTGAAAAAAGGCTGAAGTCCATCAAATTCAACCTTGAAACCAAATTCTTAATTTAAGGTTACAGAGTTCTACAAAACATTTTTTGCTCAATCTATGAATTTAGGAAATAAGCTAAGACTTGTGGTGATATAACAACCAGTTTTTGAAATGTGAAAAAAAACAGACTTTGTGTTTGTGTCCTTGCCTAACTCAATAATTTACCAATAAGTCGGCAATCACTTAACTAGCTATTGTTGTCCAGCTGTTACAAAGATACAAAACTTGAACTTGGTGTAAGAAAACCAACAGTTGCAAGTTGCAAGTTTTAATATCTCACACAGATTTTATTAGGAGATGCCGTACACTAAGTAACACTTAAATTTTATGTTGGATGGATTTACCATCGGAATAAAAATGAACCCTTACCTAGTTGTAAAGACACAATGATTTTTGAAAGTCAGGTGGATGAAACCTATTGGTATTTCTGGGTTGCAATTGCCTACCTAGTGGTCATTTTACTACTTAGTAGCTGCACTATATCAATAACCATTGAAATTATCCATTTGCTGGATTGAAAGATCACTGCGGTCCCTGTTTTATTTTACATGTTCTAGCAATCCTTGCACATTCAATTATAAGACTGACCTCTGTGTGTCTTAAATGAATGAAGTGGGGGAAGAAAGCAAAATGCCTGTGGTTATACAGGTCTTAAAGTAACTCACATTTTGCATCCAATTGGTTTCTGTAAAGAGAATAGTTGCAGTACCTAAGCTACTCATCAGAGGTTAGAACAGATGCCATTTATTTTATTATTAATTATTATTTTTTTTGCATTTGTGGTCATAGCTCATGTTTTGCATTGAGTAAAGATAAGGAGATTGATATACCCAGCTAACCTTGGTTTATTGTTCAAGCCTGAACAGAATGATCAGATTGCAGTATACCCCGAATATGAACTATTTAGTATGCCCCGATTACCAAGCTTGATGTCTTTCTGTCACATATATAACCCTAACCATTACCTTTTTAAATAACATACCAGAAAGTATTTTTAAAAAATGTTATATAAAGACTTCAATACTAATATATCTCTGGTTTTCTTTAGAACTACACTTGTGAAATGTAATTTTATTGTCCAATTTTATGCTACCATTTGTTTTGGTTTTTTTGTCTTTTTCATTTTTTTACTGTAAAATATTGCATTCCTTAATAAAAGATTTATAAAAGAATTGATCACAAAATATCAATCTTTGTTATAGTGAACGACAGGCTTTTATGAAGATATGGTAAATATTCTTACTATTAACTGGTAGGGACCTAACTGGGGATAGGAGAGATAATTAATTATCCAAGTATTAACAGATAGATTTGGGACTCCCCTTGCTGACCCCACCTAACCCTACCTTTGGAATATAGTATAATAGGTGATTTTCAGCACTTATCTATCAACATGGACAGGAATGAATGTTGCTTTCAGGTTGTGTTCTATTTATCAAAGTTAACAAAACATAAGAAAATATTTCCCCAAAAAAATGCAGACATGCAAGAAATCATACACAAATTGACATTTCACAAATTACCATAAGCTAAAAATGTCTTGGTAAGAAATAAGCAAAATGTTAACAGAGCTGTAATGGTGGAGAGCTACATGGGAAATGTAGTTATCCTATATACTCGAGTATAAGTTGAGTTTTTCAGCACATTTTTTGTGCTGAAAAACCCCCACTCGACTTATACTCAAGTCAATGTCTGTATTATGGCAACTTACATTGCCATAATACAGACCAGGACCGCCGGGCTCATTACAAGCCCGGCGGTCCTGTTGGGGGCTGGCAGAGAGCTGTAACTTACCTTTCCTGCAGCTCCTGTCAGCTCCCTTCTCTCTCCTCCGGTCCAGTCAGCTCCCCTGTCAGCTCCACTGTAAATCTCGCGAGAGCCGCGGGGAAAACTCCGCGCGGCTGCAAGACTTACAGTGGAGGAGAAGGGAGCTGACCGGACCGGAGGAGAGAGAAGGGAGCTGACAGGAGCTGCCGGAAAGGTAAGTTACAGCTCACTGCCAGCTCCCCTCCTACACAGTGCACCACTGAACCACCACGGAATGAGAGCCCCCCTCCCTAGCCAGCTAACAAGCAGGGAGGGGAGACGAAAAAAAATATAAATAAAACAATTTAATAATATTAAAATAAAAAAATATTAATAATAACTAAAAAAAATAATAAAAATGCCCACCAAGGCTCTGCCTCACACACACTGCACACACTGCACTCATACACACACACACACTGCACTCATAAACACACACACATACTGCACTCATACACACACACACATTGCATTCATACACACACTGCACTCATACACACACACACACGCACACACACTGAACTCATACACACACACACACTGCACTCATACACACACTGCACTCATACACACACACACACACACACACAGCACTCATACACACACACTGCATTCATACAAACACACTGCATTATATACACACACACTGCATTCATTATATACACACACTGTAAATAAATATTCAATTAATAGAATTTTTGGGGAATCTAATTTTATTTAGAAATTTACCAGTAGCTTCTGCATTTCCCACCCTAGTCTTATACTCAAGTCAATACATTTTCCCAGTTTTTTGGGGTAAAATTAGGGGTCTCGACTTATATTTAGGTCGACTTATACTCGAGAATATACAGTATGTATAGAACTCTCAACACAATTTGAAAAATTACATCCTGTGACATCTGATGTGATTTGAAATACTGCAATGCAAATTGTCTAATGGGAAAAGAGTTTCATACCATCTCAGCTTGTATAGAAAAAAAATAATCAAATTCTACAAGTGTTTCAATGGAATGTTATATAATGTTATATAATTACTCTGTAAAAAACAGATAAAATTCATATCTTGTAATACCTTTTTTATTGGACTAACAGAATTTTTTTAATGACGAGCTTTCGGAAGAATCTCTCTTTCTCTTTCTCAAGCCTAAAGCATTTCTGAGCAAGACGACAACATAGAATTCAAAGTTGAGTTGTGATACAGGGGTTAAAGCGACATGTGCAGATAAAACACAGGTTTCATAGAAAATAGACGTAAATATCTTGTGTGAAGATTGTGAAGATCACAGAGTGACGGGGAAGAGAAAGAGAAAAAAAACAAGGAAACAGTGCAGAAGATGGTGCTAGAAGGGGAGAATAAAAACAAAATCATTACTTATATTAAGAATGCATAAATTCCCATCCAAGAGTTACAGGATATGCATGAAGGTCTATATCCAGCATACACAGACACTCACACACATGTACATATACACATACACAAGTGCCTACACATACATAGACCCATAAATATGTATATGTACACATACACCTATTTACATATATGCATATATGTACACACTTTATACATACACACAAATATACATATATGTATACGCATACACATACATACATACATACATACATGAACACATATACATAAACATACATATACATACACACAAACACATATACATACATGAACTAATATACACAAATATAAATGCACAGTCACATATATAAGCACACATGCATAAGAGTATGGAAAAGCATAAGTCTTTACATAGTACTATGTATATTGATAGAATAAACATATCATTGGAATGCATTTTACAATGTTAATACATATAACAGAACAGTAAGATAACGCTGGGGGAGTGTTCATGTAAAGTGTTGGTAGTGGGACAGGAAACCCAAATCAATATTTAGTCCTCTATTCATGCTGTTAAACAATTTGATCATTCTGGCTTCAAAAGGTTTTCTTTCTTGGGTATTTTTAAAATCCCCTTTCGGTACTTTGATTTTTAGGTCCTTGATTGAGTGGCCAGGCTGGGTAAAGTGGTGTTTCACCGGAGTGCTGTAGGATTCTTCTTTGTGGTGTTTAATGGAGTGTCTGATCATATTCATTCTGCTATTTAATTGCTGGGTGATTTCCCCGATGTACCATCTTTATTTGTGTGTGTGTGTCTGTGTATGCTGGATATAGGCCTTCATGCATATCCTGTAACTCTTGGATAGGAATTCAGGCATTCTTAATATAAGTAATATTTTGTTTTTAGCACCATTTTCTGCACTGTTTGCTTGTTTTGTTTCTCTCTCTCTCCCCCCTCACTCTGTGATCTTCACACGAGAGATTTACGACCCTCTGCAAGAATGGTATCTATTTTCTATCAAACCTGTGTTTTATCTGGACTCATGTCACTTTAACCCCTGTATCACAACTCAACTTTGAATTCTATATGTTGTCTTTCTCAGAAATGCCTTAGACTTGAGAAAGGGAGGTTCTCCCGAAAACTTGTCATTAAAAAATTGTTAGCTCAATAAAAAAGGTTTAACAAGATACAAATTTTATCTGTTTTTTTGCATCTATATCACTGGACTAATACGGCTACAATCTCTACTTGAACAATAATTATTCTGACTACCGGATATACTCGAGTATAAGCCAAGTTTTTCAGCACATTACAGCCTATACTCGAGTCACTGTTTGTATTATGGCAACTTACATTGCCATAATACAGACCAGGACTGCCGGGCTCATTACAAGCCCAGCGGTCCTGTTGAGGGCCGGCAGCAAGCGTTTACTTACCTTTGCAGCAGCTCCATTCACCTCCGTTCTGTTCAGCTCCCAGTGTAAATCTCACGAGACCCGCGTCCGTCAGAGCGTTGCCACGGGTGACCACGAGATTTACACTGGGAGCTGAACGGAACGGAGATGAACGGAGCTGCTGCAAAGGTAAGTAAACACTTGCTGCCAGCTCCCCCACTGCACAGCCCATGCCACTGGACCACCAGGGAATCATATAGCCCCCTCCCTGGCCAGATAACAAGCAGGGAGGGGGGACAAAAAAAAGTTACAAAATTAAATATTAAAATAATCAAAATAATAATATTTAAAAATATATTAAAATAATCAAAATAATAATATTAAAAAATAAAAAAATTAAAATAATAAAAATGTCCTCCTCCCACCCAGTTTACACACAGTACACAAACACACACACACTCTGCATCATATACACACACACTGCATTCACACAAACACACACCATGTAAACATTCACAGTGCAGGTGGAAAAAGTATGTGAACCCTTGGATTTAATAACTGGTTCAACCTCCTTTGGCAGCAATAACTTCAACCAAACATTTCCTGTAGTTGCAGATCAGACGTGCACAACGGTCAGAAGTAATTCTTGACCATTCCTCTTTACAGAACTGTTTCAGTTCAGCAATATTCTTGGGATGTCTGGTGTAAATCTCTTTCTTGAGGTCATGCTACAGCATCTTAATTGGGTTGAGGTCATGCCTCTGACTGGGCCACTTCAGAAGGCGTATTTTCTTCTGTTTAAGCCATTCTGTTGTTGATTTACTTCTATGCTTTGGGTCATTGTCCTGTTGCAACACCCATCTTCTGTTGAGCTTCAGCTGGTAGACAGATGGCCTTAAGTTCTCCTGCAAAATGTCTTGATAAACTTGGGAATTCATTTTTCCTTCGATGATAGCAATCCGTCCAGGCCCTGACACAGCAAAGCAGCCCCAAACCATGATGCCCCCACCACCATACTTCACAGTTGGGATGAGGTTTTGATGTTGGTGTGTTGTGCCTTTTTTTCGCCACACAAAGTGTTGTGTTTCTTCCAAACAACTCAACTTTGGTTTCATCTGTCCACAGAATATTTTGCCAGTACTGCTGTGGAACATCCAGGTGCTCTTGTGCAAACTGTAAATGTGCAGCAATGTTTTGTTTGGACAGCAGTGGCTTCCTCTGTGGTATCCTCCCATGAAATCCATTCTTGTTTAGTGTTTTACATATTGTAGATTCGCTAACAGGGATGTTAGCATTTGCCAGTGACTTTTGTAAGTCTTTAGCTGACACTCTAGGATTCTTCTTCACCTCATTGAGCAGTCTGCGCTGTGCTCTTGCAGTTATCTTTACAGGATGGCCACTCCTAGGGAGAGTAGCAGCAGTGCTGAACTTTCTCCATTTATAGACAATTTGTCTTACCGTGGACTGATGAACAGCAAGGCTTTTGGAGATACTTTTATAACCCTTTCCAGTTTTATGCAAGTCAACAATTCTTAATCGTAGGTCTTCTGAGAGCTCTTTTGTGCGAGGCATCATTCACATCAGGCAATGCTTCTTGTGAAAAGAAAACCCAGAACTGGTGTGTGTTTTTTATAGGGCAGGGCAGCTGTAACCAACACCTCCAATCTCATCTCATTGATTGGACTCCAGTTGGCTGACATCTCACTCCAATTAGCTCTTGGAGATGTCATTAGTCTAGGGGTTCACATACTTTTTCCACCTGCACTGTGAATGTTTACATGGTGTGTTCAATAAAACATGGCAACATTTCATTCTTTGTGTGTTATTAGTTTAAGCAGACTGTGATTGTCTATTGTTGTGACTTAGATGATGATCAGATCACATTTTATGACCAATTTGTGCAGAAATCCATATCATTCCAAAGGGTTCACATACTTTTTCTTGCAACTGTATATAATATTGTTATTTTTAATAGCAATATTCAACCATTTAATCTGTAAGGTTAGTTTAACGTTAGTTGGTTTTAAAGTATTTTCTAGAGACTTACCATCACCATTACCTAATATAATGATTGTCATTTTATGGACAGTGGAAGAGTAAAGGCTGAATTTAGTTTGTCTGGAAACAAAACTTACATAGGAGGTGTTACACCTGAAGCTTAAACCACTGAGCTATCACACTGAGGTTAAAGGAAATAACAATATACCCTTTGTTAATAAGTGGCCTGCAACCTTAATATCACTGTGTCCTCTATATTAAAATGATTGGTTAATTATAATTTTATATGGCAGTAGTTGTCTGTTTGCGTTCTGGTTTAAGATACTGATCTTGGTTTTATTTTTCATGTTTTAATGATTTCTGGGTCAGCCAAAGTTCACATTTCCTATTCAAAAAAAAATCCAGTCATTGTTTGTTGCTCTGCATAGCTCTGTGATGGCTTCATTTACAAGTGAAAAAAACAACGT